GTACATGAACAGATTTGTCTCATTATTTGGTAAGAAACTGGATAGTTTTGTCTCTTTCTTGTCCTTAATTATTGCATAATAAACATTTATTGATGATTTATAAAGTGTTTACAGATGAATTAATAACCTATAAACTCTTTATAAACCATCTATAAGGGGAGCCTTATACGTAGTAAAGTGGTACCCAATTTTTATCCTTATTTTTTATTACAACTGAAACTATTGTATGATTGTTGTATTGTGACATCTCCAATTGTCTTTGGGTTGTCAAGCTATTAATGATTAAAAATTAATACCTGGTTGCAACAAGCAGTTTGCAGTGATGCTCTAATATGGAGGTGAGCTAGTTTGCCAGATGTTTTTTATATACCGGTAGTTGGATCCCATATGGGTTGGGACAATTAACCACTACTCTATGTAGTTTCCAAAGAAAGGACCAGGGTTCTTAATTCTACGTCACAGATTACGAAAAGAAAATAAAGATTCATAATTCAGATTGGAAAATGTTGAATGTTTCAACGTGTTAAAGTTTTCCCCACTCATTTTTAAACTCAGACAGGAAATAGGTGATGAAAACAGCTGCAAAGTTCTCCAGTTTCCAAACTTTTTATTGTCCGGGGATCATTAAAAACACCCTGACTCGACTTTATTTACTTTATTTTTAATCACACGACTAACACTTCACCTCTGCTTTGCATTTTCTAGCCAGGCGTGATCGTCTTTTCCAATCAGCGGCCGCTCGCCGCGCATCGTAACGCGCCGCTGTTTTACATTTCTGTATCACACCAATTAATCAAAGTGACAATGTATTTAATGAGAGGCAATTAGAGTGTTAACCAAAATGCAAATCAGACAAGGACAGAGAGTGGAAAGAGGTGGGGGGATTTGTGTTGGTGGTTTAGGTTATGAATGTGTGTTTGTGTGTGCGATAAGCTTTGGCAACAGGCTCAAGGAGATTTCACTCAGCGCTCTTATTAGAACTCCTACTGGATAAAATTCAGTTTAGCGCACCTGTGATTGCATCCATGTCTGACTGTGAGTATAAGTTGTTATGAGTGTCCTTGAGTTGTTTTCTGCTTCTGTTTTTTTTTTTTTTTTTTTTTTTTTTTTTTTTACTGCCATTGGCTCATGCACAACAGGCAACAACAACCAATTAGTTCTGCATGAGGAAGTCAACATGACAACATGAAACGTGGATTTAACAGCTGCTGTTGGGATGGATGTTAAGTAGCCTGCTTAGGTCAGTCACTTCAACATCACACAGTATCTGTGCGCAGTAGATTAGAGTGCATTTCCTGCAGGAATCATTCTTCACAGAACGGGCTTGTTGTTAGATGTTGGATCATGCAGTCTGGGGAAGTGAAAAGATAAAACCGTACCTTTTAGCTAAAGAGAAGCGGGCTTTAAGTAGTCTCACAGCAACAACAGAGCCCAGTGAGTCCCATATGTCCCGGTTTAATGATACTTTCTGAAAGTATCAGTCTGCTGTA